AGAGTGCTGGGGTCACATGACCCCAGCCAGGACCTTATTCAGCCTTCTCTTAAAGACCTCCACGGTAGGGGAGCGCACCACCCCCTTGGGAGCCCATTCCAAATTTTGGCCACCCTTACCATGAAGAAGTTCTTCCTGATGTCTAGCCTAAATCTGCTGTCAGTTTGTGACCACTGCTCCTTGTTACCCCAAGAGGCACCCTGGTGAACAGAGCATCTCCAATATCTTGCTGTGCTCCCCTTACGAATTTGTAGGCAGCCACAAGATCACCTCTCAGCCTACTCTTGCAGAAGCTGAAGAGGTCCAGGTCCCTTAGTCTCTCCTCATAGGGCTTGGCCTGTAAACCCTTAACCATATGAGTGGCCCTCCTCTGGACCCTCTCAAAGTTATCCACATCCTTCTGAAAGTACAGTGCCCAAAACTGGACACAGTATTCCAACTGCGGTTTGACCAATGCTGCATAGAGGTGAAGTATCACCTCCTTGGTTCTATCTGTCATGCATCTGCTGATGCGTGATAAAGTGAGGTTAGCTTTGCTGATGATTTCGTCACACTGACATGTTCTGCACTTATGTTTCTCTTTATTAAAATACTGGTGCTATTCTTGCTGAGTAGCTTCATGTTCTAATCCAGTCTTTGCTGTTACAAATACATCAATTCTATCCACAGTTTTGAAGTCCAGCTCAGATCTTTCAGGTCTCATGTAGTCTGGTGTTAGATGGATGTTTGTTTTGTCTTGTTTTAAATCCACTCAGATTGGTAAGAGCCATTGTGGGCTTATTGTACATGTAAAGTTTGGTGGCTGTTATGCAGGCTGAGCAATCATCAAATGAAACCATTCCTTCTTTAGACTCCCTAGTGGGTCTATGAACTGGCTACCAGCGAACTTCACTAGGATCAAGGAACAAACACCAAGTTGAAAGATTTTGTCAGGCAGTTGTAAGCGGGTTGTATAATGGGCTATCTATCTCAGGCTCAGGCAAGGTAGAGTTAACCATGATATTCATTAGCTTAGAAGTGAATCTTTGTCCCAATGTACTGCTTAACAAGACTACTGCCATTTGCTTCAGTTTAACTTTTAACATATTCAAAACCTGATTTGAAACTATGTTCATCCTCATATTCTAAAACTAGATTTACTGAAAAAATGCAAGTGTCTGTTCCTATGACAACAACCTTTATGTTATTCAGAACATTCTAAAAATGGAATTTGCAGTAATATACCAAGTCAAAACTTTTTTTCTCCCACATGAGAGGAGGGTGATTACAAGAGGCTAATTTACCAACCCTTGTAAAATCCTGCTCTTTGGCTGGTAAAACATTCTTTTAGTCTGCAAAGTGAGTCTCAAGTAAGTACATGTACACACACACACACACACACACACACACAAAAAGTGGTCTTAGATGTGGACCAAATATAACTTCTGGTACTACACATTGACATTTGGGAAGATGCTGGTGGTCACTGTCATCGTTGCTATGCTTGTTAGGTGTTACGGTTGTGTTGTCAGTATTGAAGTCTCAGGGACTACAGTGCTGGCAAAAAAATCACAGCCAGGAGATCCTAACACCAATCTTATCATCTTAAAGAACTGACCACAGGCTCGGTTCAGTGCCAAAGGTTTGGCCAGATTTGTGACCTGACAGACAAAGTGTTAACACATGCATGCCCATGACAAAGTATTGGCACATACCATGTAGGCTCCCCAGACCAATATCAAGTTCCCAGGGATCAAAACAAATTACATATTACACTCTACCAGTACTTTGAATGTCTTAAGCTGTCCTGTACCATGGGCTTATCCCACATCTTGACCTCAGTGTTCCTGTTCCAGCCTCATCATCTTGGTAATGGACTATTCTATACCCTGTAGTCATCTCCCAATCCCATCTTCTGGCAAGAATGCCCATCTGGCCCACATGCTAAGTTTGCTTATATAAGGAGTTTATGCATCAGTCAGGTTCACTGATGAGGCCTACTTCAGCCCATGCTATAGCAAAGCCTTTGTGTGAGCAGTATATATATTGATCATTGCTCCAGCAAGGCCTCCAGTCACATCACCACTTCTGCTGATCCAGGCAGCAATCTTTCTCATTCTTTCTGAAAGGCCAAAGAATCCTACTCTTGTTATAATTATTACCTGAAAACCTAGTTTCTGCAGACTACGGGCTAATCGTCTGGCACCAAATTTAGCTTCTTCTTCACTATAAAGGAAAGAGAAAATACTAACTTTATTATGTTGCAGTAGCAAGATTAGAAATGCATATGTCCCACGCTGATCTTGCTATTTTTTTTCAAACACTCTAGTTAGCAAATGTCAGAATTAAAGCCTTAATTATGCCTTAGTATGATACAATCTTAATTACAAGATCATACACACTGTCACCACACAGACTGCCTCAATGCACAGTATAAATGGTGCTCACTTGATGAACAGCTATCCAATAGTGCATTGCATTCTAACTGTTAAGGACATGGCCCCATATCTTTTTAATGTACAGTATTCACAGATCATTCTGAGTTTTTTTCTTAATGCTCAGTTAAGATTTATGAAACAATTATTAAGTCCTCTCAAAATGTGACTTGAATGGTGGCATATCTATTATTGCAGATAGAGTACCAAGGCAAGGGACATCAAGTTCAAGAGTGACAAATATTTCTGGATGTCCAAGTTGGGACTCCATATAATCTGACTCTCTTTCAGTGCTCTTAATTCTACATATCACTGTTCCCATGACTTAAGCTGCCGCTATGTCTGGTCACCTTTCTGCATATCAATGTCAAGGTCTACAGTTGGCCACAATAAGGAACATGGAGGTAGTGACCACTTTTGAAAAGTCTAGTTAATGTGATCTGATCACTCTGACAAAGGAACTCTGCAAGAAATGGGATAGATTCCAATTTTCAAAGGCAACTTTCATCAGCTTTAACCATCATCTGCCCTTCTTGCAGTTCTGTACTTTATTCACTATGCATCTTCTAATTCTCTCGAAATGAGGCAGAAGTCCTATAGAAAATCTCAGCCCATATATAACCCATGTCCCTAGTGCAGGTCTCTTCTGTAAACTGATTTAAGGCAAGGGTTCTGTACAAACAAGTAGAATGTGTTTCTATAATTAAAGACTGTCTTAATGGATCTGCATTAAGAGGCCACAGCTATGAGCCCACAGGAAACTTTAAATTTTGGACTCAGTACTTGGTTTCTTTGCCTCTGTGAATCAGCACTAGAGAGCATTTTTTTCTACGCATGTCACTAGGGAATGGCAAAATTCCCAAATTTTCAGATACTAAAAAGTGTGTTCTAGTGGTCAAATCCTTCTGTGTTATAACTATAAAGCTTGAACCTTATAGTCCTCCCCACATCAACCTAACCTTGTCTCTTCCATACTCTGGATCTTCAAACAAATACCAAACTTTACTCTTAAGGTTTTGTCTGTTTCCTTCCTTACCAAGCTTTAGTCTTTACCAAATCTGAATTCCTTCCCCCTGTCAATTTTAGTCCAAGCTCATTTTTATGTGATATTTCCCTCTTCCATTCTGCTCAGGTTAGTACAGGACTTATTATGTGCACAGGAGAAACAAGGTTGTCTGGATTTAAATGCTGGGACTCATGCCCAACATGTCCAAGAACTGAAGTTATGGAAAGTATCCTACTCAGCCCCAGACTCAAACATGGTTAGGGATGGTTCTGGGAATTTAGATATTAAAATCCAAGTGTCTAACAAATGTGTGAACTGAAAAATCCACCATGTCAAAAGCCCGATTTGGGTGGATTTTTGAAGATTAGGAAAAGGCATTTAACTGGTACCAAGGCCAGCTCCCTCTCAAACTTGGGAGTCCCTGTTGTGAAGCACGGCACATGCAAGCTTCTCAAATAAAAGACTGCCAGAAGTTAATGTGGTTAAAACAACTTATTTTCTCTAGCAGTCTCCTGCAAAAGGGATGAACTGTTTTGGCTGCAATTTCCAAATATTCCTTGGGCAGTGAGTTAATATGAAAGATTTCCAACCAACTGGTCAAACAAAGCTTGGAAAAACTGCAAGCAACAGAAAACAAAGTCTTATAAAGGGAGATGCTAATCACGCTTTAGCACGTAAAGCTGACCTAATGAAGTAGCACTTTAGAAGGTCCCAAAAATGTAATCTAGGAATGACTACCTTCTCCTGAAAAAAGATCTAGACCTTGACAAAACTTACCTGGTGGCTCCTGTGCAAATAACTTTTCCTGAGGACCAAATTGTGGCTGTAATCCTAGGTTTCCTAAGTTTCATTAATACTTTCTAGAAGGAGAAAAAAAAAGATTGTTTAATTTCATAACAGAAAGAACAAGTCTAATATACTTCCTCTATACCACCTTTGCCCTGATAAGCCTTCCTTTCAGAAGAAAGAATTCAAAATCAAGTCTTGAAAGGAGCCAAATAAACCTGAAGAATCATAGCCAACTAGCTAATGATCATATGGTGGTAGGCCAGTAGCCTTAAATAGACAGAAGTTACTAAAATCAAAACCAAAGTTTTCATTTCCCCTTACTCTGGCTCTCTCACTGCTGACTGTTTCCAGCAAGGTCCTATCTATTCGGAAGACCGAACAGGGCTTGTCCAGAATATTTGACTTCTCCACATCTTATACATTTGGTCATTCTTTCATGCCTCCTCTTATACCTAGTAGCCTATATTCTTAATCCCAACTGAAGGACTACTTTTGTCCAGCATTTCATCACTGGCCATTACACCTGGCCACTTCTCCAGTGCTGCTTTTGTTTATGACCATGGCAGGAATAACATCAAGAAAACTGCTTCCTTGTAAGCTGTTCTCCTCAACAACAGGCAGAAGCTTTCTGAATATAATGAATTCTATTCCTCAAGGTAATGCCTGCTATCTTGCTCTACAGCTGCACAGCTACATGTACACTCAATATTGTGCTATAGCAATAATCAATCTTTGGTCTGTCAGAATGTTTTTGTGGCCCACCCAAGTAATTCTTCATTGACAGCAAGACAGACTAGATAGGATGGAAACCTTTTAAGTGTACTCTCATGTTAGGTCCCCAGAACTGCACAGATTTAAATTTCACAGCCTCTGTTGCAGTGCTTTGGCGCTATTGACAGCATCTCTTCCCACTCCACCCCCCCCCATTCTTAGAATAGATAAAAGCTAATCAAGGCCAGCACGTCTAAACAGGAACAGGAAAGAAATTGTAAAGAAAATTCAGACACATTCCAGTTCTGGTGCACTGATTATAGAATTCACTATATCAACTACACCCGATGTATTGAGATTGACACAAATAAGAGAATTTTAATTCAATAAACATTTGTAAAATTTAAGCACTTAAGGGATCTTAAAATCTCTTACCCCAACATCACGCTTGTATATCACATTTGCACCCTCTAATGCAATCTTCCTCAAGTTTAAATGGCATCTTGTTCTAAAAACACACACTACATTTGTGATTAAAATGTCCAATGCAACATCACTGTCTGCATCCATTGGGGTAGATTAAAACTCAGATCCCCACCAGCACACCATGAAGATCACATCCTGGGAAAGAGAACAATATAATTAAACATGCTATCATACAGTTGTCTAGGAACATCCTACCATGTAACTTAATTTCAACTTAAATAGGGCAACCTTGGAAAAAGAACTGCGGAATAAATTGGATTTAACTGCAAAGTGTCTGTATCCTAGACACCAGAAGACAGGATACCTTACTTATTTAAACTGACATTTCAGTACAGTTAAACCAACTCATCAGAAATACACTTTGGGGCTTAATTAACAAGCAGAGATTAATTGGGACTTCTATACAAAGGACTCTCTGGATTGCTCTGATTAAGTAGCACATGAGAGAAGTTTACAGTTACAATGCTCAACAGACATGAAAGGACTGCTGCAATGAAAGCAAAGCCTGTCCACCCCATGTGCACAGAATTCCAAAAAACATCACACGGCTGCTTTCTGACATGTGCTCAGCACCACCCTTACAGATGTGCTCTTAATAGCAGTGGTGCGTACTGCCAGTACTACTATAATGGCAGCTACATCACTTTTTACAAGTGGGAGCATGGAATGCAAGGGGCTTCCTGGGACATGATGGGCTTCTTCTCTCCGCAAAAGGTAAGGGTCTCTTTTCTTATGGGTTGGCTGATCTCCTTCGTCGGGCTTTAAACTATGTTCAATGGGAGAGGGGGAGGCAGAAGATGGAGAGAATCTAGGACCTACAATCTACGAGATATATAACAGAACATCCCAGGTAAGTACCAAGGGGCCCACTGGGCATCAGAACAGGCGGGCACCAAAGGCACCATTCGGAGGGCTCAAGGGCCTCTATACCAGGAGTGGGCAATTATGTTGGACAGAGGGCCGCTTACTGAGTTTTGGCAAGCCATCAAGGGCCACATGACAGGCAGCCAGGGGCAGATATTTATTTTTCAACATTTTTAGGGGCCCCACGGGCCAGATAGAATGGCCTGGTGGGCCGCGTTCAGCTTGCAGGCCACATTTTGCCCACCCCTGCCTATACTAATGCCAGGAGCATGGGGAACAAGCAGGAAGAACTTGCACTCCTGCTTGCAGACAATAACTTCGATTTAGTGGAGCTAACAGAAACCTGGTGGGACCCTACCTATGACTGGGCAGTACGCATTGAGGGCTATAGGTTGTAGACGGGATACAGTAGGGAGGAAAGGGAGGGCGGGGGGTTGCCCTCTATGTTAAGGAACATTATACATCTACCTTAATCAAAATGGGATCAGAGGAAGAGAAAGTTGAGACATTGTGGGTTAGGATATGTGGAGGTCAAGGGGAAAGGGACTTGATGTGGTGGTCTGTAGCAGACCCCCACCACCAAGAGGAAAAGCTAGACTTGGAATTTTTGAGGCAGCTCTCAGAGGCCGTATGGTCTAGGGACATGGTTGTCATGGGAGACCTAATCTACCCTGACATCTGCTAGGAGCAGTCAGCCAAATCCAACCATTCATGTAGGTTCTTAACCTGCATACAGGACCTTCACCTAACACGGAAGGTATATAGTCCCACTAGGGGAATGCCTTACTGGACTTGGTGTTGGCTATGGGGAATGATCTGGTAGGGGAGCTGCAGATTCGTGGTCACCTTGGGGACAATGACCATCAATCAATCAAATTCACCATACGGCATAGGGTGGGAAAGATAACTAGTAGGGTGGAAGCGCCTGATTTTAGGAAGGCTAACTTCAGTGTGCTCAGGAGTTTAGTCAATGATGCACTGTAGGATAGGAGTATTGGTGAGATGGAAGTCCAGGAGGGTGGTTGTTCCTAAAGGAAGTGATCCTTCGGTGCCAGGGGAGACGATACCACTGCGAGGGAAAGGGGGAAAAGGGGCCAAAAAACTTCCTTGGCTAAACAGGGAAATCCAGGGAAGCCTAAAGGCAAAAAAGTGAGGCGTATAGGCAGTGAAAGCAGGGGGGAGCTACCAAAAAAGGAATACACCTACTTGGCCTGCACTTGCAGGGAGGCAGTTAGAAAGGCCAAAGCAACTACAGAGCTGAGGCTGGCAACACAAATTAAAGACAACAAAAAGTCTTTTTGTAGGTATGTAGGGAGTAAACGGAAGACACGGGGCAGCAAAGGACCCCTACTGAATAAGCAGGAGCAATTTGTGACAGACAGGGGGGACAAGGCTGAGCTCTTCAATGAGTTTTTTGCATCAGTGTTCCTGAACAAGGGTCAAGAAAAGTCTCCTAATGGGTTCTTAGATGGGCATTAGGGAGGCACCAGCCCACCAACTGTCGACGTTAACTTGGAGCAGAGTCACTTGGATGGACTGGATGTGTTCAATTCAGCAGGTCCAGATGAGCTGTATCCGAGAGTACTGAAGGAATTGGCCGGTGTCAAAGCAGAACCACTGGCACAGCTGTTTGAGCACTTGTGGCGCATGGGTCAGGTCCCGGAGGACTGGAAAAGGGCCAATGTGGTCCCTATATTCAAGAAGGGGAGGAAGGAGGATACGAATAATTATAGGTCAGTCAGTCTCACCTCTATCCTTGGAAAAGTCTTTGATAAGATTATTAAGAATTGTATTTGTGTGAAGCCACCAGGATAAATAATGCAGCAGCACAACCAGCATGGTTTTGTAGCATGCCTGACTAATCTGTTTTCTTTTTATGACCAGGTCACAAAATGCTTGGATGCAGGAGTAGAGGTGGATGTCATACACTTGGACTTTAGGAAGGCCTTTGATATGGTCTGACATACCATTCTCATAAATAAATTAAGAGGCTGAGACTTAGATGTTCACACAGTCCAGTGGGTTGCAAATTGGCTTGGGGGGGTCACACTCAGAGAGTGGTAGTGGACGGGTTGATATTGACCTGGAAGGATGTGGGCAGTGGGGTACCACAGGGCTCAGTCCTTGGACCTGTACTCTTCACTGTCTTCATCAGTGAGTTGGATGTGGGTGTGAAGTGTACTCTGTCCAAGTTTGCAGATGATACCAAATTGTAGGGTGAAGTGCACACTCCAGAAGGTAGGGAATGATTGCAGGCAGACCTGGACAGGTTGGAAAAGTGGGCAGAACACAATAGGATGCAGTTTAACAAGGACAAATGCAGAGTGCTGCACCTATGGCATAAAAATACCCAGCACAGCTACTGGCTGAGAAATGACCCTCTCAGCAGCACAGAAGCGGAAAGGGATCTCGGAGTCATAGTGGACTCCAAGATGAATGTGAGTCATCCGTGTGACGAAATCATCAGCAAAGCTAACCTCACTTTATCATGCATCAGTAGATGCATGACAAATAGAACCAAGGAGGTGATACTTCCCCTCTGTGCAGCATTGGTCAGACTGCAGCTGGAATACTGCTTCCAGTTTTGGGTGCCGTGCGTCAAGAAGGATATGGATAGCTTTGAGAGGGTCCAGGAGGGCCACTTGTATGGTTAAGGGTTTGCAGGCCAAGCCCTATAAGGAGAGAATAAGGGACCTGGACCCCTTCAGCCTCTGCAAGAGAAAGCTGAGAAGTGATCTTGTGGCCGTCTACAAGTTCATTAGGGGGACGCAGCAAGGAATTGGAGCAAGGAATTGGAGATGCTCTGTTCACCTCTTGGGGTAACAAGGAACAATGGTCAGAAACTAACAGAGCAGATTTAGGCTAGATATCAGGAAGAACTTCTTCATGGTGAGGGTGGCCAAAATTTGGAATGGGCTTCCAAGGGAGGTGGTGCTCTCCCCTACCTTGGGGGTCTTTAAGAGAAGGCTGGATAGGCATCTGGCCAGGGTCATCTGACCCAGCACTGTTTCCTGCCCAGGCAGGGGGTCGCTCTTTCCTGCCCAGACAGGGAGTCGGAGTCGAAGATCTGTTGAGGTCCCTTCAGACCCTAGCATCTATGAATCTGACTGAGAGAAAGGGTGCAGTATGTGCTCTCATGGTGACACACACACTAGTATTTTCTGACATGGTGTAGACATGGCCACACATAAAAAGAAAAAAAAAAGAATGAAAAGAATAAACTGTCCTTACATGCTTTATCAGTCTTCATGTATACTACCACTGTGTTGCTCTCAAATGGGGCCTGTCAGCCACAAATGGATTCATCAGGCATCTGACGAGACATGTCCACCATGAGCCAGAGGATTGACAGTTGCCCATTATATAGGACAACAATAAAAATATTCACCCCCCCAATCCTCTCTTCGTGGTAGTGCCTCTTACACCAGTAACTACAAACGATACACACTGGTGCACGGATGTGGCATTTAGCTTCTCCTTTGGGATAAGCAACATACCTACAATAAGCCAACTCCGAAATAGCTGTTTTGCTTGGGATTGTTTTATGGGAGGAGAGAAGAGACTTGGATTTCATTAAATAATTTAGAGCTGGACAGGAACGTGAAAATCTTTGGGACACATTTTTTGGAAAACGTTTAAATTGCCAGTTGACATAATAACCAGAAATTTTAAAAATGTAAGATGCTAAAGCAGATCTCAATTTGGGAGGTGGAGGCAATGAATCAGCAATAATTTGGTGTTTGAAAATCTAGAACCGCCCTACCCACAATGAACACAAAGAATTCTAAGGAACACAATTAAATAAAAGCATTTGGCCTTAAATTCTCTATACTGTTTTGTGGTTTCCTGCTCTTTTGACAGAATGAAAGTACCAAATATAAACCACCGCTGGATGAAATGCAGAAGGCTGAGATACTTAGTTCCAGTAAGTAAGAGACAAATTAAGATTAACAATGTTTCCATCTAAATAGGTTCAATACAGACTTGCCACACGTTCCTGGCCTCCAACTACATGGCACCCTACTCCAAGTTCTGATCAACAGACTGAAGAGCAGCAGCTATCACCATACAGTAGTGACACACTTTGATGCAGATGGGTGTTTTTACACATGGAAATGGCTTTTGTGATCACTTGTCTATCTCAATCTGAACCTGGTTCCATGAAGCAGTACTGCACAGTTGCTGATTTTCCAGAAAGACAGGATAAAAGGAAGCAGGTGGTAGAGCAAAAAAAAAAAAGTACCAAAGAAAAGATCAAAGAATAGACTAGG